TCGGCCGCTGAGCGCGACGCTGCGGGCCGACCCTTGGGCATGCACTTCTCGGGCGCGGACCTCACCGACGGCTACTTCCAGTTAGAGTTCGAAGAGGTCGCGGGGTACTTCTGCCTGGCCCACAAGGTGAAGGCGAGCGACTTCGGCATCAAGACGGTCTTCGACGATGATCGTCGCTGCTGGGGCCCGGTGGACGCCGACGAGATGCTGTGGACGTGTGTCAAGGTGATCCCGATGGGCTGGACGTGGTCCCTGTTTTTCTGCCACTCCGCGCTGACGGACGTTCAGGTTTGCGCGGAGATGAGGAGACTGGGTCACGGGGATAGAGACACGGTTGACGCGCGGGTCCTGCGCGATCGTCAGCCGCCTCCAATCCTCCAGCCGGGTCTTCCCATTCTCGCGCCCTACGTGGACAACGCCTTCCTGATATGCTGGAACCAAGAGGACGCCAAGGAGAGCTCCAGGTACCTGTTGGAGGAGCTGAAGCGCCGCGGGTTCGTGTGGCGGGACGAGATCTGCGCGGAGCGCGACGTCGTACAGGTGGGACTTCGGCTGCGAGGAGGGCCTCACCCGATCGTTGCTCACAAACCAGAGCGCACCTGGCGGCTGTGCTACGCTCTTCACGCGGCCATTCGGTGCCGACGTTTTTCGGACCGACAGGTCCGACGGCTGGTGGGGCACCTGGTCAATTTCTTCATGCTGTTCCCGCCGTTCATGTCAGTGTTGCACGAAGTCTGGCGCTGGCTCACCGATAACGTGGATCAGGTGAGCGTCCTGACGCCGACGGTGATTGGCGAGCTGCAGACGGCGGCGGGACTGGTGCTCATCGCAAGGCATCAGATGCGCTTAAGGACGGCGAGCACGGTGTTCTGCTCGGACTCCAGCGGTAAAGGCTACGCGCTCCACGTCGGCCATTTCTTTGAGCGTGAAGTCCTGGGCGCTACTATGTGGAGAGAGCGGTGGCGGTTCAAGACCATCGAGGAGTACACGCAGGACTGTGACGACGACGCTGCTACGGGCCCCAGCTCCATCGCGGCGGGCCCCATGTCGCTCGCGCCCGCCTTCGAGGAGGAGTTGGGCTCCACCGAGATCGGCGCCGCGGATCTGACGTCGACTTCGCGGAGGGCGGGGTCGTCTCGGGTGGCCTCGCAGCGTGCGACCGTCACCTTGGACACACTCACGCGGTGCCCGAGCTCGCGGCCGTCTACTCTGACCGTCTTCGTTGGCGTCGGGTCGTGGTGGGAACCTGGTGCCGCGCCGACGCCATTCACAACGAGGAGGCTCGTGCCGCCTTGCTGGGGCCACGGCGCTATACGAGGTCCTCGTGGAATTGGGGCGCTGAGGTTCTGTCGGTCGGGGACAACCTGTCGGAGATCCTGGCGACCGAGAGAGGGCGCGCCAAGGATCGCGAGCTCAACGCCCTCTGCCGCCGAGCAGGAGCTCTCCAGGGAGCCCGCGGACTTCGGCGGTGACGTCGGCACCTCGTCAGCGAGCGGAACTGTTCGGACGAGGACTCGCGCCTCGCGGATCGTGGGCTGCTGGCGGCGGGCGAGGCCTTGGAGGGAGGCGCCTTGTGGGCGCGTCTCCGAGGCCGGGGGCGTCGCGACCTCGCAGATAGAGACCGAGTTCGAGCCGCCGAGTCGCCCAGCATGGGTGCGGGAGTGTCGCCGTACGATGACGAGATCCGTGCTCCTTCCTGTTCTTCATCGGACACTACGCGATCGATTTTCACAAGCGGGCCGGTTCTTTTGACCGCCGCTTCGAAGGGAGAGACGATTCCTTCGGCTCAGGTGAGCTCGCCTGAACGCCGAGGCGACAGTGCGCTCTCCAAGCCGATTGCCCCAGCGCCCTGCGGCCTGGCCATTTTGGAGCTGTTCGCAGGATGCGCTCGGTTTTCAGGAGCTTGTCAACAAAAAGGATTGCGGATCGCTCCCCCCTTCGACATCAGCACGTCCCATGACTATGATGTTACCAACCCACGGGTTCTCAACAAAATACAGAACTGGATAAGAGTTGGGAGGATTTGGTTGCTTTGGCTAGGCACCCCGTGTACTAACTGGACCAGCGCCCGTAGTTCTCCTCAGGCTCCTGACGATATTCGGGACCCCGCCGCTATTGCTACGCTTCGTATTCTTCGGGCTGCACATCGATATGGGGTAAAGTGGATACTCGAGAACCCGATTGGCTCCAAGCTCTTCAAGCGGACGCCCCTTAAAGATCTCATCGAGGCTCAGGAGGCCCAGGAGACCGTCGTGGACTACTGCCGGCATGGCACCCCGTATCGGAAGAGAACCCGTCTCATGAGCACCCTTGAAGGCCTCGGTGAAGTAGGCAGAAATTGTCGGTGTCAGGTCCCTCACGAGATCCTCCAGGGGAAAGTTCGGGTTGAAGATAGTTCGGGACGATCTTTGATGAAATGGAAGACTACTCTTGCTGCCGCTTATCCACCCGCTCCCTGTCGTGAATTGGCTCGAGTGGTTGAGCGCCATGCTCCACCTCGGGCATTTCGTAATCCTCGTGAACCAGTTTTACATGTCCGATGGCGTCTCGACCTGGCGTCCTCGTGCGGAGGTAGAGCAGTCGAGCCGCCGCCACTCCCAACTTGTCCCAGAAGGTTCACACTACCGTGGGGGGATCACTCAGAACGCTGGGGCAGCGGCGACTCGCGTCGTCGGCGGGCCCGAGCGCTTGCTGCCCAGCCTGACGGCCCCAGGAGCGCCCGCGCCGGTGCGGCGTCGGCAGCGAGCTCAGCAGCAACGTCAAGCCGCTGTCGTTCGGCGGAAGGCGAAGCGCGACCAGCTCGACGAGCCCGAGGGGGGGGCCGGCTACCTGGCGAGGCGCAGGGCGAAGCCGGTGACGCTGCAGCGCTACCAGCAGGCGACGAGGAGCTTCACGGAGGCTTTCCCTCGGGCGGGGCAGGCGGATTGCTCTCTGCAGGAGTTCGACATGCTGCTCGAAAAGTACCTCACCATCCAGTTCTTCAACGTCGGAGCGCGAGCTCACGAGGCCAGAGACGTGCTGTACGGCAGCGCCTGGATGCGACGCGTCCCGGCGTCGCGCCTGCCCGCGGCCCTCAGCGCCCTCGACGGCTTCAAGAAGGAGGACCCTGGCCACTCCCGCGACCCATGCCCATGGGAAGCGACGGTGTGCATCGCCGCGGCCATGATGATGCTCGACAGCTCGCTGGGACCGTTGGCAGCGGCGGCGGTCCTCCTCGGGTTCGACACCTACAGCCGGCTCGGAGCGCTCATCAACATCAAGGGGCGCGACCTGCTCAAGCCGGTCCGAGGCATGAGGCCTCCGCGGTGAGCCGTCGTGTTCTTTCCCGAGCCCGACGGTGCGGTCAGCAAGACGAAGACGCAGGACGACACCGTGCTCATCGGCGAGACACACGCGGACCGGCAGTGGCTCAACCAGCTCATGCCGCCGCTGGTCAGCGGTCTCGCCACCACCGACAAGGCCTCCCCGATCAGCCAGGCGCACTTCAGAAAGCTCTTCGAGCAAGCCGTCAAGTCCCCAGGCATGGAGGCGCTGAAGTTCGTGCCCCACATGCTGCGGCACGGAGGGCCCAGCGCCGACTCCCTCGCAGGGGTGCCGCTGGCGGAGATCCAGCGCCGAGGCCAATGGGCTGCTCCGAGGTCGGTCATGCGCTACAGCAAGCACGGAAGATACCTACGTGTCCTAAATCGAGTCCCACTTGAAGTTCGGAATTCATATGCCGCCAAGGTGCACTTTCTCAAAACCAACCTGCCGGGCAAGCTGCGCAATGCACGATCATGAACCCACCCGCCCAAGCCCTCATGATCCATAGCCAAGAGTATTGTGGACGAGACTCTGGATAGTTGGCCATGTCTTCTTTCTTGTGGAGTCTCAGCCGCGGCTGTGCCGACAGAGTTTCAGGCGAGCTGATTTCTTGAACTGGTACGCTCGGGGTGGGTCGAGCGCACGTGCCAAAAATGATTGCAGTTCTCCCAGGCTCATCGTTCACCCTATCGTCGGCGGTCTCTGTGAGTGAGGGTTGCTCTCTCTGTTCTGAGCCTGTCGGCTATACCTCACCTCCCCCCTCTTGGGCTCTCTCCTGGGGTCCGGTCCTTTTTGGCCCGCGACGCTGAAGGGAAGGAAATGCCCAGTAGCTCCGCTTCCCTTTTTCCTTCTGTGAGTCGAGGGGATCAGCTATACATGTTGATCCGTAGTCTTGGTGTTCCCGCCCTGCCATCCCCTGCACCAGCGTGTGTTCCTAAGGCAGTGGCCATGTCTTCTTTCTTGTGGAGTCTCAGCCGCGGCTGTGCCGACAGAGTTTCAGGCGAGCTGATTTCTTGAACTGGTACGCTCGGGGTGGGTCGAGCGCACGTGCCAAAAATGATTGCAGTTCTCCCAGGCTCATCGTTCACCCTATCGTCGGCGGTCTCTGTGAGTGAGGGTTGCTCTCTCTGTTCTGAGCCTGTCGGCTATACCTCACCTCCCCCCTCTTGGGCTCTCTCCTGGGGTCCGGTCCTTTTTGGCCCGCGACGCTGAAGGGAAGGATATATATATATATATATATATGTATAGCGCGGTTTGTAGACGCTTTCCGAATACACACATATATATATACACATACAGACACAGATATATAGAACCCGTCGTGCAGGACACGCGACAAGCGCACGGGAAGGCGACCAACCACTCGATGCATTTATATCTATAGAGAGAGAGCGAGAGAAAGAGAGAGAGACAGAGACAGAGAGAGAGAGAGAGAGAGATTGAGAGAGAGAGAGAGAAAAAGAGACTGAGAGAGAGAGGGTCGGACGGGGCTAGGACGAGGGTGAACCCGTTGCAGAGCGTTCCGGAACGCTCTCAGAGCCTTCTTGAACCCTCTTGGAAGGCGGCGGCGCCCGATGCATTTTCCAGAGCCGCCGGATCTCAGAGCTTCTCGATCTTCACCCTCGCCCAGCCTGGTCCTCGTCCTGGCCTCGTCCCCGAGGGAGAGAGGCGGCTTCGGCGGCCGCGGCCGCGCCCAGGGGCCCTGCGCGGCGGCTGCCCCAGAGCCGCCGCCGACCTGTGGAGGAGAGCGGCGCGACCCCGCGCGGGTGCTTCCCCTTGGTATTGCTCGGACGTGTGATTTTTTTCTCGACGAGGACCATCGAGGAGCATCATGGATCATCCAGCAAAAAAACACGCACGAGGTCGAAACATGTACGGGGAAGGGACGTCCAGGCGATGGCGAGTCCCGAGGTGGGGCCCGAGCAGGCGGGGTTGATCGACCAAAAAACGACACCACCCCACCTTCGGCCCTCCATGTTGCGCTTCGGCTCATCGAGGGCCGTGGCGTATACCACACAAAAGCCCACGCCGGATGTCTTGGTATGGGGCGGTGTCGTCTGTTTTCTGGTCCAGCTGAGAAGTGTTCATCGGCACGAACGAGATGGGTACGGAAAGAAGGGGTACGAAGACTAACAGAATGATGTCCTGACCATTTTGAGCAGGACTCGCTGTCCGCGACGCTGCGGAGTTGTCCATTTGAGACAGGTGGCCGCCTGCCCAACAGCGACCGCTGTCGGTTTCGGACAACATTTAGTGTTGGGCACCTACCCATGTTTTCTGTACCAATTTCGGTACCCAGGCGGGTGGGCGAGAGCGGCTTCGTCGCCGAACGGGGGATGGGGTGAGGATGTGCTCGTTGGTTCTGGGAGGCCTCCTTGCGTTGGGATGCTTTCCAACAGTTGCGCCTCGTCGAGGGTTTTCTGGGGGTGCCCAGATCGTCGGATCGTCCCAAACTGCCGCTGGAGGCCCCAGTTATAACCCGAAAACCATCAGGCGTCAAAGAGGGGGGTGAGGACCACAAAGATTTTCCCTGCGCCAAAAGAGTTGTAGATTTTCGACATGTTTCCTGTTGCGCCAAGATGTCGTTCTAATTCACATGCGACAACACAATTGTAGTGCTTGTCAACCGACGGTCATCAACATGTCGGCGTGTCTTTAGCATGATATTAAAAACGCTGTAGTGCACGTATGTATACACACACTACGTTCAAGTGCCATAGCGGCGTATACATACAAACGCATATACATACACACGTGTGTACAACATTCGTAACATGCGCACACACGAACATGTGTGTAGAAGTAGATGCGTGTTTGACATGCGTAACCAGTGATGAGCAAGGTTGGAGGAAGACTGATGGAGAGAGAAAGAGGGATAGAGAGATAAAACAAACAAACAACGATCGACGTATATATAGAGAGAGCATAAAGAGAGAGAGAGAGAGAGAAACAACAAAAAAACAGGACACGAGGGAAAGTTAAGAGGGGGAGAGAGAGGGGGGGAGAGAGAGAGAGAGAGAAAGAGAGAGAAATCCAGAGAAAGAGACACACACACACACACACACACACACACACACACACACACACACACACACACACACACACACACACACACACACAACAACATATGAGAGAGTTTGTGCGTGTGCAGGCTAGGGGCGCGCGCGCGCATCCGACCCCTTCAACAGGTCTGTTGGGG